CATTCGATACAACCTAAGTCATCAACACCAAATCGTCCTTGCCAGTATTCGTGTTTCGGACACAAATTTGGAGACGTGTTCATCTGCAAATGATAAGTTATCGCCCACCCGCTTGACGGACCACACACAATGATGCACCGAAGACACACAGCCCAACCATGACCAAAACTCAAAACGGATCTTTCTATATATAAAGCCGTGAATTTGATGGCGAAATATCGATGATTGCAATTACCTGTGAGAGTTGAGCCTGCTTCGAATCAACGATTTTTGCCATCTTGCATCTGCTTATGTTCAGAAGTGTATGACCCTTCTCGTGACTTCGATCGATATCAGGTAAATGAAATCGTGGCTACAAACATGGGATCCACCAACATATATTGAGTGGCACTATAATTGACAGCTCAATATATACCTTGCTACAACGGTAATCACCATGCAGTAGAAGCATGTGCCATATGTCTTTGCCGTCCTTTGCAGCTCACAGTGTTCAAGCCATTACTTTTTACTCTGGCTGTAGACGTATTGGTCAAGATGATAGCCAGTAAACCGAAAACAGGATTAAATGTTTGTGCTGCTCAATTCACAAAGTGAAGAGTGTTGCTCTCACAGGCATGATAGCCGACAAAGGTCGACACCAACGTTTTTCTAGCGATGATTTCGACAATAGGTGTGATACAGTAGCTTCTGGTTGCACGTAGCAAGGAATTTAAATGTTGCGAAATAGATTGGCTCATAGAAGATGATTCCAGACTTTCACCCGGAAAATCCATTTACTTTATAAGGCTAGCAACATCGACCATTCCGTCAATGGAATTCCTTCTAGTGTCTAGGATTAGCACTGCTCATGCCAAGTAAGTGGCGCGGGTTCGAAACCCTATTACACCAACCCGAGGTCCATAAAAAATGATCGCGAAACACTAGATGCACTGTTACCACCCCGGGAACCTTTGTACACTAGCTAGTTAGGCCTCTCGAGAAAGCATAAAATCACAATAACTAATAGTTGGGCTATCCGGTCTGGCAGGCTACCAGAGCAGCCCGTAAGCACTGCCCATGCCCTGGGACGATGACCACGACCGGGAAGGGGTGTGTAGGCCCACCCCGAAGAGGAAAGTACCAGACCGTTAGATGAACTAAATATATAGGCTGGATCTACGAAGAAAAAGACCATTCAACCGATAGTTGCATTACGTTCGCGAATTTGGTAACGTCATTTAGCTAGAACCCGTACACGCTTCTATTTTGCCGATTGAGACCCAATTATCGCTCAGCCAATTTCGTCTCACAGTGTGTCCACTGTACAGCCTCTAGTTTAGCTAAGCGGACTGAAATTGACATCAAGTCCGCCTGCTATTTGGGCTAAGCTCTTCGAGACCCAAGCTGATGCCATCGTGATTTCTGCTTTAATTGGGTGCCGTCGTAGATGAAGAACGCACTGTTCACATTCGCAAAAAGTGCTTTAATATCCCATCACGATGCTCGGACTGTCTCGGCAGTGTTTGGCTGGAACCATATTGCGTTCTGAATAAATGTTGCCAATACCGGTGCCCAAAAAGGCTTGTCCTTTTTTCTTCCAGTAGCGCTCAATTAGTTATCCGCAAAGCCCGTTCGGGAAAACTGATCGGTTAAAGCTAAGCAAGAGCGCGCAAAGCCCGATCGTACAAACTGATTTGTCAAAGCTAAGCAAGAGCTGGCATGATTGCAATATACCTGTTCACCGAGTGTATGCAGAATGTAGCCGAATGAATCATTGGAATGCACATAGGCGTCTTTTGATATGAAATTGTAACGTCGTTCATGAGCATAGTGTTAATAAAAAGGTAGTATATAAGGTTGATGGAAGCGAGACTCGCCGTTGTTTAAAGTGTGTAATTTCGTCAGCAGCGAATGTAAAGGTGTCTATTGTACTATATTAAAAGTCTCCGTCCTGCCAGTACTAAGCGCACGACTGAAATACCTGCATGACAGGGGCTAATCAGAATAGGGAACCTGGACCGAGGAATGGAATTGTAGGAGGGAGTATTTGGATATTGTACACGCTATGACACAGGTTATTGGACCCTAAGTATTTGTTAAATTTATATGATCAGAAGATTGTGTTCATTAAGCTATATATGATAACGCACTCTTCAGATGTCGTCAAAACTGTAGGGGAACACTTGATAAATAGTGAATTTTGCTTGAAAAACGCTCCAAATATAATTGCTCTCGTACAAGTATACAATGTAAAATTATTTTGATTTATTTTGTGTCAAAAGATGTCGTTTAACATCTTCTTTAATTACTTTTGTCATTCTAATACTTGCTTTGTACCAAAAATTGCGACCGCTATTTACCACTTACTTTTCGTAAACAACCAGTCACCCTCCACTTTAACAAACCCTGTATTTTTCTCTCGCGACGTAATTGGCGAAGTAATTTAATAAGTTTTTTATAAAGGAGCGTAATATATGCGTGAAATTATAAAATCGGGTAAAAGCAGACATGTATTTAAACGCTTTTGGTTTTTACGAAGTTATGGTTTACTCTTCGCAAGCGCAACCGTATTCAGGCACTGTTCATGAATCGTTCAACCAACGTGCATCAGTTGGTCCTCAGTACATCACGTATCGATTCTTATGCAGCCACTGCAGGAGTTGAAAGAGGTTGCCGACAATTTCATGAGTTATCTCCTGCTTCTCCGCACGTATCACTTCGACCTTCAGGACGCAAAGATACCATCTAAACGCTTAAACTGCGATGAATCCCGCTGAGTAGAACTTTGCGATTAGTTTCCAGCAGTTGCTGCCTAAGATCACCAATAAGACGCCCGCAGTCATGCCAGACAGATGGATTGGATACCTTTGCTGCCGATGGCATATTTATCTCGTCAAGGACAACTTCCTGTCTGTACGAGATTTCCTCTTCCACTCTTTTTTATTTGATGCGCTCCATTGTTTCCCCGATTGAAGTAGAGTTGCTACATACATTACATCGTGTCGAGGAGGCTGCACTAAGTATCAGTGTGAAACAATAGATCCATGACGCTGTAAGTGGTGTTTTAGTGACAAAGTTTGTATAATACTACATAGCATTCGTTTTCACGCGAGCGAGATCGGTATCAGCGTGTTTGTTTCTAAAATATAATAAGCCAACCACAATATTTAAACGAATGGTGAGTTATATTTGGCGAAAACTGAGTGGTGGATAGCGGCTCCCCAAATTAATGTCACTTATACGATTTCAAATGACTCTGCCAATTGATAGCAGCAGACCAAATTAGATTATTGTAGAAGTTGGTAATTTAAAGCATGAGTTGATGGCAATCTACTTACACGAAAACAAATCGAGCGTGTTTTTTACTATAAGATTTTTGCTCGAAACCATCCATGTTGGTGTCACGAAATAGCGCCGACATCGACATTTGCTCTTTGTCATTGGCTTACAAAGTATGGGGTCAGGCACTGCGTTTCGGTTATGCGTCATGTTTCAGTTCCATGGGGCACAAAGTCTCAACTTGGTGCATCATATGTCCAACTTTTCTTCCTTTCGCCCGGACGACTCGAATTTTAGCAAGATCCTATTTACTCCGCATGCGTTGCCATTCATTACTCATAGGCCATAATCGCAGCGGATTATCAAAACGATGTTTGAGTTCTCCTCTCATTTCGTAATGCGATGGTACCAATCTAATTTAAGATGAAGCGCACTGTTTTGAAGACTGAGAGCACTGCTGGTGTGGTATCTGAGATTGCGACAACCTATATCAAGACTGCAATGTTTCGGGACACTACGATTGTTGTCAGTTCTCCCTTCCAGTAGCAAAAGCTGTCGAGGTAACAATCTGTGTACTGAAACTGCACGATGCCTCATCAAGCATATGCTGACTCGATCCTTGCACACATCACGCCGTCCAGTCACATATGTCCCTGAGTGCACGCGCGTGACCTATGCAGCTGTGGCGCTGTCTTATTTTTTAAAACCTTCTTACTTTGAATGTCAATGCCTATCATGTCCGTATTATTCTTTTTCGTAGACCTAGATAATCATCAACAAAGAGCTGTGCGGGGACCACCTCATATGCAAAAAGTTCGAATGCGTAATCAAGGGATAAACGCACGACATGATGTATCGTCAGTAGAGAAGTACGAGACCATTGCTACGTTGTCTACATCCATCTGTGGGATGAGCGTTACCAAGTTTCTGCTAGCCGCCAGAGGTTTATTGTTCGTATCTACAAGTCGTCTAATTCGGCTGTCAAAAGGGTTATCGGTTTGACCACACCAAGCAGCCTTGTTGCACGCAGAGCAAGCTTTGCTTAAGTAGTGAGATAAACGGATTGTTGACGAATTGGCCGCTATTCGTACGTACCGTCGTCAAGAGGTTACGCACGCAGTCGGTAGGAGGCGAATATAATGGCGTAGCGGTGATAGCGATTCCAGTATTGGAAGCAATGAGAACTTTTTACCATTTTTTGACGATTTTCCCACTGTGCGTCTTGATCGATCGCGAGATCGATCGTCTTGATCTGGCTTGATGTCTATCGTCCGGATTTGACCGACACGCCGCTTGATATAGAGTCGTCTCAACACTGCTCTCATTGCAAAAGTTATTGTTAGCGCACTTGCGACTACAAAGTGTGCTTTTCGGTAAGCTAGAATCGATGGTAAACACGCTCAACAAAATGTATCGACATTTCAACAAAATGTATCGAAATGTCACATTTTTATTCTAATTTGCATGCATGTGCTTGGAGCAACTTGTTTTATCAATGGGCGAGGACAACAGACGAGAGTGCGTAGAAACCGTGGTCATTCTAACAACGCCTGTTCAACACGTAACCTCCATTGATTGAAATAAAAGATGTTCCGCTGCTTAGCAACTCGTACATCTTCTACGGGGCATGCCCAGTCGAGCTAATGGTGTCGACTTGTCAGAAACAAACTATGTGTATCCTGCCGGTCCAGTTTGGTCGACCGGCTGTTTTCGCAAAGATCGCTTCCTTGCTGTCCGCTCGCCTAGAATTTCCGGTAGGATAACGGTGAGCGGCGTCGTTCCCACTGGGCCTCGTACTTTGCCCAGTGCGTCCAACTCAACTCGTCGAGGGTATTGGCAATCTCAGCGGCAAGCTTCTCATCTGAAATGATCTTGACCATCTCCGACCGCGTCAACGCTTTGACCTTGCGCAGTCGCTGCAGCGCAAGACCAAAAGCACCGAAGTGTCGATCGTGCAGCAGCGCCACGTGAAGGTGCGTTGACTCTTCAACGTCTGCCCACTTCTGAAGATCAGCGTATACCTGTAAGAAGTCTTCCCACGAGTCGGCAGTGTTGCCAAGAGCTCGGGCCTTGCGTGCGAGAGCGTCGATTAGAATCGCTTTCTCTTTCTCTTTTTCCTTGCGCACCTTTCTCTCCACCGCTGGTTGATCGCCAGGAACACTTCGAGTACCAAAGAACAGCGCCAACTCATCCTGCTTGATCTGAGCAAGCACTGTATCAGCAGCCTCGATCACTTCCCCGAGATGAGACAATCGACTGGCTTCGGTATCAGAGTGGTGCAGCTTTGCTTGCAGTGCTGGTAGGTAGTCTGGAAACTGGTCGATTAGGCGCTGCCACGCGGTTAGGAAGGCAGGCGTACCAGCCAGTTTGGTCGTCCGCTCGAGCAGCAGGTCACGGACGGCTTCTTTGGCAAGCTCTTCTTCGTCACGCTCGTCCTTCAGCTCTACCAGCTCCGGTTTCTCAGCCGGTGTAGGCGCCGGAGGAATGACGTATGCGATATCAAAACCACCAGGGCGTCTGCCACTCCTACAAGTTCAAGAGTCAGTGAACAGCAAGTGTGAAGCAGATACTATTCTTGAACAACAACAGAGAGATCAACCGTACCCTTTTATCGCACCGTCCTTCTGGCCGAAGTAAATCTTGCCCGTAAGGAGGTCTCCTACAGTACTCCCAGTAGGCAGCTTGTCATGAGCAGGTTCCGCAACAAATACCGACACGTACTTCCCAGTGGGCAAGCTCTTCTTGTCAAGAGCCTTGCTGCCGAGCGCGACATCGTCCTGGTGTTTATAGACTAGTGCAGCTATCTCTCCGATCTCGTGGTTCAAAAGTAGCATCATTTGCTTCAGCTTTTCGAGCTTACTCACATCCTCATGTCGTACTTGGGCACGGACAACATACGACCCCTCCTTTAGCATTATTTCATCGCCATATGCATCCGAGCAGCCCATGTACTGCTTTTTGTCGTCAAATATCAACATCAACTGCGCTTCAAAAGGCGACTCGTACAGACGTCCATTCAAAAGCGGCAAGCTCGGAATCACCTTGCCGGCATCCTTCTTTGTAAACTGGTACGTCAACACCAACTGGTATACCTGGCGCTTGCCGGGAAACTGGTCGCGATCTGAACTTAGCGGAGTGATCTCTGCTATGGTCGGACGGATGCGCTGCACATATTTTGTAAAGATCGTCTTGGGAGCCAACATTTCGGTCTGCACGGAGCTGGACAACAGAACTTTGTGCGATTCTTCGCCGCCGGTGACGACAATCTTCTCTTGATCCGGTTTGATGCCGTGGAAGCGAATCTCAATTTGCACGATTGAGTCTCCTAGGGCGCTCCAAAACTGACCCAAGCAGAACTCAGTCGTCAAACCTCCCATCAGATCTATACTGAACACAGCTTCCCCGTCAGGCTTCAGAACAAAAGCCTTGCGAAATGATGACATACTCTGGCGCGTAAATGGCTGGAACTGTATCGCATCAAACATGTAAAGCTTGCCGGACGAGTTCGATTCTACTTCGCGCTCCCGGTTTCCGCTAGCGCGCGAGAAGATGACGTTTGCCCATGTAGTTCCCACGGGAGGTGTAATGAAGCGCCGAGAGATGTCGCCAGGCTGGAATTTGTTCTCATACATGTAAACTGAATCGACGTTCTCGGGCTTAAGCACAGTAACCGGAATGGTGAATAGCGTTCCCCGAGCTTCGTTCTGAGTGTCTATCGCCACAATTTCACCGTAGTGCTCACCACTAGTCAAATACTTCGTCTCTACAAGCACCTTGAATGTTCGCCCGCCATGCATCAAAGCTAAGCTGTGTCCCACGTCAATCCAACGTGCGGAAGGAACAAGGCGCACGTGCTGCTCAAAGTGGATTTTGTCCTCTTGAGCAGCTTTTTTATGGAAAATAGGGGTCACCGTCACAGCGATCTCAGTGCTTTCATGAGAAAAATCAACACTATCCCGGAGAAAGATACCGCGAGCATCTCCGTTGCCTGAAGACGTCTTGACTTCATAATGTAACGGGAACTTCTTCGTACCGTCAAAGGCGTTGCTGCTCAGTAAGTACTTGAACGCCGGGAGCACTTGAATAAGACCCTTGCCTTGGGCATAAGCTTCCACACCAGGCACCATGACTGCCGTGTTTTCCAACGCACGGCGGATTGAGTATGGCGTGTATTCCACGCCTTCCGCCTTCAAGGCACTGACGAGCAACGCAATGTTTCCAGCACAATTTGGTGACGACATCGACGTGCCATTCATGAGTTGCTTTTTGTTTAAGGTCCAGTTTGGTACCGGGGCAATGGCAGCACCAGGCGCGCAAACGTTGACGCCCAGGTCGCCGTCGAAGGTTGGCCCTCGCGACGACCAAGTGTAAGCGGTTCCAGGTAGATTGTTAGCTCGCATGGTATATTCGGCATCCATCATCTTGGGCGACACGTAGGCACCGATACTCAACATGCACGAAGTCGTACCACCTGGAGCCCCCAGTGTACCTAGTGCAGGGCCATTGTTACCTGCACTCACCACAAACGTCACGTTGTGTTCGTCCACGAGCTCCTTGCTGAGCTCAATGATGCGACCGTAGTTATGCTGCGACGCATCTTCTCCGTAGCTCATGTTGACGATATCGACATTCGATTCCATGACTGTTGAGATCGCTCGACTCAATGCTGAAGACGTTTCCATACCAGATAACCTGCCATCGCCAATCTTTACGGCAACAATCTGCGCACCAGGAGCGACACCATTGCATTCGGGTTGGTCACAATAGTGCGCTGCAACAATGCCAGCCACGTGCGTCCCATGAGCTCCAACGTCGTTGACGACACTCAACGTCTTGCCGTCATCGTATATATTCAGGACGTAATTAAGCTGCGACTCGGCCGAAAATGTGGCAAACTCTCGTTCCTCTCGATAATTCGTCATTGTCGGGACACCTGCAAAATTCCCCGTTTCCGTCGTATCGATTGCGGCGCGCCAGCTCTTGCCATCGTGAAAAACGACTGCATCGTAGATCGGTCCCGGGTCGTCAAACTCCTTGTCCCAGAACTCCTGCAGCTGCTCGAGTCTCGTCTCCAGATCTTTCTTTGCTCGCTCGGCACTTGCAATCCCACGTCCGTCTTTCGCTCGACTCGCGTCTCGATTGTCCACATGCCACTGGGCAAGCTCCTCTTGCACCTGGTTCACAGCAGCTCGTTGGGCAGCGTCCATCTCCTCTCTGCGCTCCCGCTTGAGCCTCGTCACGAGGTCTTTCGGGAACACGTGGAAGCCAAAGAGCGTTCCCACGTGGTAACAGCCATTCGGACTAAGAGGCCACTCGGGATTGAGCGCCAAGACGCGACCGCTTGCAAGCGTCAGTGTCTGATTTACAGCCTCGACGACGGTCGACATGTCCACGTCCCCCGCACCTGTGGCATCCACAATGTCAATGATCTTGGGACGCCCGTCCGACGTCGTTTGCAGCCCGATCGCGCCTGGATCAACCCCCGTGTCGAAAATCGCGACAACGGCATTGCGGCCATCGTAGCTTGGAAACTGCGCGAGAAAGTCCGTGGCGAGCGTCTCTTCCTTGGGCAGCAACGACGCGCTTGGAAACGACGACGACGACGAAGACGACTTCATGCGCTGGAAACAAACTGACGATGAAGGGGCGGGTGACGACGGAGCGATCGATCGCAGGCAGGACGAGGAAAGATCGGACCGAGTGAGTGAGTGAGAGGAGGAGGAGGAGGAGGTGGATCTCAACGGAGCTCGTCGAGGTTGTTGTGACGATGTATTTAGGTGTAGAGGTTTATTTGGTTGTAGGATCAACTGGTTGTCAGAACTGGTATCTTGTTTCTCCCCCTTCGCGCTATTCACTGATTCGAATGCAGTGGCTACATTTCGATTCGCGAAACGTGAAACGGGTTTAGTTGACTTATGGCATAAGATACAAAAAGCTTGGAGCGCTCTTGGAGCATCGAAAGCCGATACGGACGAGGCAGACAATAGCAAGGAGCGAATACATGGTAGCATCGGAAGTAGCACTGGCGACTCGAATATCGGACCAGTGAAACGGGAGGTCATGTCGAAGACAACTGCATAGGGTAGGCCTAAAGCTACCAGAAGTGACATTCTGTTGCACTGTTAGCGTAAATGCGGTACCCTATGGGTATTGCAATAGGAATGTACACCCTCTGCACTTATGACACTGTTGACAGGGCACCCAAATCTTACATGCACTATTGCGTGTAGAGGAAGTACAATCACCGAAATGGTAACGCTTCGTTCAGAGTTCCGAAGAGATCCGTATTCAACAGATTTTGAGATACAATAAACATTTGTTTAGACCTCACTCTAACTACAGCAAACTGAAGACATGCGTGTAAAAGACACCATGCTTGCCACATATTGTTGCATGCGTCTATCAACGATCAGTGGCTGCATCGGCTGACATCATGACCCATACCAGCACGGGTAGTATGTCGCAAACTATTTGGATATATATTTCGGGATTAACCGCTAAGATCACAATCAGATTGACAGTTTATTAATGTCAATAAGATGCAACAGGGTTACCCCGACCACTCGCTCCCTAGTCGATAGTGACACCGGCGACTGTACTTGGCAATAAGTGACCATCTTTAAGCACTAAAGAAATGGAAGTTCTTGACAATTTAGACGTGTCATTCGAACTTCGTTGCATGGTCAACGACAGCCCATACGATGCGCAGCTACTAGGTCTTCTTGGCATGTAGCTTTAAGCGCTGCAGGATCTTCGTGCAAACTCGCCTCATATGGCAGGTTCAACATAGAGCCACCGTTTTGGGCAAGTCGGATGCGTCACCCGAGCCGAAGCGACCCTCAACGTTTACCGGTGCATTCCAGGGCGGCGTGGGTGAAATCGATTTGACCGGCTCGCTGAGGCGGAGTTAGATCGAATGTGCGCCAGAGAATCTTGAGTCATCTGATGAGTCGCGACTGTAAAGCCAAATAATGTCCGCGCGACGAGGATTCTTGTCGCGATGACGCTGGCCACCCTGGTCGTCTCGGTGACTTTTGTACGTATTGATTTGGTCTACGCGATTAGAGTGATCAAAAACACGTGATTCTGGTGTTTCTGCGAGCACCGCACAGAAGGTATGAGACCTCAATATCTTGTGCTTTGCTCTTGAGGACAGAACAAGGTTGGTCACGAAGCAACAGGCAAAATGCAATGACGAATCAACCAGCCATTTTGATATAATACGACTGTTCAATTGGTTATGGCTTTCTCTCCTTGTCGCTAACGCAGAGAAAGTGTCAGACGGTACTGTTTCTGACACGTCATAGAAGTTCCGGTGCTTAGCTGCAAAACCTGTTGCAGGTACTCTACGACCTTACCAAATTGCATAATCCTTTATCTTTTCTCAAGAATCGTATCCAGAAAATTACTGCTAGAATCTCGATCTGGCCCAGTCGTCACGTAGACATCAAAAGTCGCCGAATGTCGATTTCAATTTTTTCGATCGGAGTGGTATCTATAATATCCGGCAAGTGTGCGCATAGCGGTGAGCGATCTAATAGGTCATCGATATCTACCCGATCACCTCGAGACGAACGAGGCGACGCCTATTACTTCTTTAAAAAGGCAATTCGTTGTGTGTGTGCGAAGGCTGAATATGGCAAGAATAAACGATATATTTAGGCTATTTGGCGCAAATCGTCACCATGTGGTGGAGCTAATATATCTCCTATCCAGAGAAAGACTTTTTGCTCAGTGAGCAAGGTAGTTCTTTACAAGAACTCGACTTTACGAGTCAACGAGCTTACAGCTACAGTTCTTTGTTTAAGAGACCTTACCGATTCAGTGAATTAAATGCACAGTTTGCTAACAAGGCTGTGTAGTAGGAAGTCTAAACTCACTTGCAATCTGAGACGCCTCAGGAAGGCACGTGTTGCATATCGATCAAGAAGGGGAACTTAACTTTATTTGTTGTTATCTAAGAGAACACCGCAGTCTAAAAATAACGAATGAGACACTAACGCTATAATAAATACCCTTTGCAGATCTTGTATTTTGGTGGCTGACACACTTCAGCCATTAACAAGTGATTGGGGGATCTAATATCCTTTTGAATGGAATCTCATGCCTGATGTAAACCACACATGTAATGTGGGTACCAAACCAAATTGTAATACCGTTACACATTCGATCACTCGGTGTTTATTTTGGATGGACCGCGACGCCTAACAAATACATTCTGATACTATTAATTCTTGTCAAAAATATCTTGATGAGTATTGATTGCAATAAGCTTCTCCCCGGAGAAGGCCTCCAACAGATGATAAGATCAAAGGCATGCCCGAAGCAATGTAGCATGCGCATGGACCATACTTCGCAGCTCAATATTATGCCATGCGTTGGAGGCGCGTGACAGAAGCCTGAACCAATGTACGCGGACAGCACTTTATCGCTGCCGACGCTAATCACCACATGCGAAAGTAGCATTACGGTTGACATTCGATTAACATGTGACATTTTTAAAAGTACACATTTCCCGAAAAAATTCACCGTTCCTTTCTGCTTATTTCGCACTTTGAATATGAATATAGCACGCATTGCACCACTGGGCTACAATCCAACAAAAATTATCGGCCAAAATCGCTACCTCTTTTTTGTAGTGCGTGGCAGAGGCATCTTAAGTTTCCTCACATTTTACTGAGAGTAAAATCTTCACGTGAAGGTTATGACCTGCGTCTGACTATGATTAGAGTTTAAAGAATCTACCCAGTATAGAATTGACGTGTTGCGTCTCGTGCGACATAAGGTGACTCACCTCGGCGTATCTTCATAGCGCGCGACTTATTGATATTTATCTCGGCCAGGCATATTACTCCACGCCATATATGGATCCTTACGTGCCAAGTCCTAACGCGTCAAAGACTCACAAATTACTACCTTCCTCACCGATAATATACTATTATAAAGGTTTAGGCCTGTTTTGTGTACGTATAAGAGACCTAGCACGTCGATGTGTGAGTAGACGCATCTTTTTTTCCTAGTTAATCCCGATATATAACACACCGACGAGAATATTGGCGACGAAGCGCGCGCTTATAAAGGCAATTTGGAAGATAAAAAATGCTGACTGGAAATTTTTGATAGAGACTAGCATGAAGAAAATATACATAACCAAAATTAGTTGAAAAAATACAACATAGGGCTAACTGAAGACAGGTATGGGCTGTAATTCTACACACATTGAATTTTCAGTCTGGAATGCCATTTCTGGTCTGGGTCATGCCTGATGTCAAACCTTGAATGACACATCGTTTTATAATCTGGTACCAGCTACGAGAGAATCAAAAACACCTACCTCGGTAGGGGGTGACCTGGTGGAAATCACTGGCACCGGGACAGGAAGGAACGTGCATCGATAGCCGGGGAGGGGCGGACCGATTGCATACCGCCTAATGGTAGCTGACAAATCCTGACAGAGTAGGTCGTTCGCGCAACATTATTTACCTCAACCTTTCTCCCTTTACAAGAGGAGAAATTGGCCTGAAGAAGGCGATATTCACTACCAGCAAAAGGTTTTCTCGTGACGAGTTCGAGCCGTGGGACAATTGTAATGCAAGTTGGCTTTTGTCGAGCTATGGACCGGTCAGCACAATACGCGGTACTACACACGTAATTATAGTGACAAAAAGATCGATGTAATAGCAGGTATCAAAAATTTTATTACTTTTAACAAATCGTAATACCTCAGTCAAAATTATCCTCAATTTTATCGCGTTCTGTAATGAACTCTGGTAAATGCGCGTGAAGCGTCGGCGCTGATTCTTTGATAGAATGTTAAGTGTACAGGAAAGGTTTCCAAACGTTATTTAGCGAAAAAAATTCCATTAATTCAAAGGAGCAAAGCATTTCTCTCGGTAACATTTCATTTTGCCGACATATCGCGGTGATTGTAGCGTTTGTACCTTGACTCTGCACTGATACAAAATGTGCATATTAGTACATTACAAAATTGTTATATGAGAGTGTGCTAGGGTAAAAAGGATTATACTTTTTTGGACAGATTGGTGATCCCTATGTTTGGCCTATATTGGAATTACGCTGTAGCTCCTACAAAGTGCTATATTAGATTAGAAGATTTGGTAACATACTATATTTAATGTACACTATATAGATGACCCCTCTACGAATGAAAGACTTGTATTGGAGGTGTGATTGCTAATTCTTGCGATACCGACTCGTATATGGCTCCTTAAAGTCCGAACAATAAAGTAATTCTAAAGGTTTATGACTGCGCTCGTCTTTCACCAATTGTTTTACCCATATGTAGAAATTTTGCGCTCTTAGCGGTGGACTTGAGAAAACGTTTATAGCATTGTCCGAGAGGACCGGTAGCGAAGAGGATACGGTCGTGTAAATCGTTATATGATCGTCTTGTTTTGTGAGGTTTCGATCAAATTTCTCGATTTTGCCTGATCCACTAGATTTTGTATTCGAGCCTCTTGCCTTCTGACCGCATGAGCCATATCGCGATCTTTTATGTGAAACAGATGTGGTTCCTTATGTCCGCAGTTGATCTCTAGCTAGCGACATAGTGTTCTGACTAAATAGGCAATTAAGAAAATTTAGAAGCAACGAGGTG